GTTCAGCGCTACACCCGCTTCATTTTTAAAATGGCGATTTTTGTAAAAGTGCCGCGTTCAGAAGTTATGGCATGAAAACCAAGTGAACAAGCCAATATGCAAATTAGCACAGGCTTACCTCAACCGGGTCCGCTTGCTCTGTGTACCTTGGAGGCACAAGAAGTCACAACGAAGGGCGTGTATCCCGCATGCTATCTACTACTGTGGCTAGCCCGTGTCAGACTACTCTAGCGGGAGACCACGAGTAAACGCATACTACAAATAGCCCCGCCCATCAATTAGCGGTACCGCGCATGCGCAGTTCGCCGAGGGTTTGCACTTTAGTGCTTTTCATTATAACGGAAACCTTGCTTTATCAATCTGGTAGTAATCATCATATTTTGTTTAATAAATTCATCATAAGTGCTGCATATTCGCCCGATTCTCACTAATTGTGATATATAAATGCCATACGAAGGACCCGCGGGAATATTGCTGCTCATAAAAGGAAAATTAACAAAACGGAAGTTGAAACTATCTCTCTTATCATAGATGGTGGTGGTGAAATGTCCATCTTTTATTAAAATGCCAACATCCAAGTATGAAACCCTACCATTATTTTCCGTTGTTTTCTTCAAAACAAGCTCAGGTGGATATATATCATTTATCGTATTCTCAAAAGAGGGGTTATTTAAAGTGAGTAGATCGTCGTGTTGGCGGAGTTTGACAATGCAGCCGGACACAGCGCAAGATAGACAGTCACTAGAATAGCTTCAATAGAATGTATAAATGCCCGACTAACTAAGAGTGAAGAGAATTGAGTTTATATACCCACAAAGGAATATTCCAGGGTTGTAGGGACCACGTGTTGATTCTAGAATGTTCCAGGGTTCTGACACGTGTAGGGACCACGTGTTGAGTGTTGTGCGCATGTGCGGACTATGGAGAGTGCATATTTCCACACTCCTCCTCACTCGACACTTGATTGCACATTCCACATAATCTTCTGAGCCTTTCAAATTTCTCAGGTCCAATTCCTTTGGTCAACAAATCTGCTAGCATGTCTTCAGTTGGACAATACTGGAGGCAAATGTTGCCATTACTAACTTGCTCTCGAATAAAATGATATTTGATGGTGAAGTGCTTCGTTCTCCCATGAAACTGAGGATTTTTGGCTATTGATATAGCAGACTGATTGTCCTCCAATATCAGGGTTGGTTGAGGTTGCGGATTCTTCAGATCAGCGCTGAGTTCTCGCATCCAGACGGCTTCCTGGGCTGCACTTGAGAGTGCTATATACTCAGCCTCTGCAGTAGATAGAGCAACGCACGTTTGTTTTTTACTTTTCCATGTTACTGCAGTGCCTCCAATCTGGAACAAGTATCCAGTGGTAGACTTGTAGTCATTGCAATCACCTCCCCAATCCGCGTCTGAGTAGCCAGTCAGAGCAGCTGTTTCATCTCCTTTGGAATAAAGCAGGCCAAGGTGGGTAGTCCCTCTGAGGTATCTGAAAATTCGTTTCACCGCTGTTCGGTCGGTTTGGAGCAAAAACGAGTAACATTGTTGATCGCAAATGCAATATCGGGACGTGATCTGGTAGCCAGATAGAATAGGCTTCCAACTGCTGACTGATACAAGAATTGATCAACGAGCTCACACTCCCCTGATGCTTTCAACAGCTTGGAGTTGAGACTGACTGGAGTCTTGACAGACTTGGCTTCACTCATATTGTACTTCTGGAGAACAGATTCGGCGAAGGTTGGTTGTCCCATCCAGACTGTGCCCCTTTTGTGATCCTGAACGATTTGTACTCCAAGGAAGTAGTGTAGCTCACCGAGATCTTTTACATCGAACTTCTCGGACAGCGAAGTTTTCACTTGCTCGATTCTTTCTGAGCTCTTTCCTGCGATTACGAAGTCGTCAACGTAGACTCCGATGATAATTGTTTCTCCTCCTGCCAGAGTGTAGATGCACGGGTCATTGGTACATTGAACATACCCCATACCCTTCAGGTGCGCGTCCAGCATAGAGTTCCAACACCTGGGAGATTGCTTCAAACCGTACAAGCTTTGTTTCAGCTTGCAGACCAGGTGTTCTTTCCCTTCAACCACAAAACCTTCCGGTTGCTTCATGAACACCTCCTCCTCCAGATGTCCATTAAGGAACGCTGTAGTGATGTCCAGCTGATGAAGCTTGAGACGTTTCTGAACTGCAATTGCAACCAGGCTACGAAACTATTCGAATCTGATGACTGGACTGAAGGTTTCATCGTAGTCCAGACCTTGCTTCTGGGAAAAACCCTGAGCAACTAACCGCGCTTTGTATCGCTCAATCTATCTGTCTGCCTTGGTTTTCTTCTTGAATACCCACTTGCTCCCAACCGGTGTTCTGTTTGCGGGTAGCTCCACCAGATCCCATTCGCCATTGGCGTAGATGGAATCCATTTCCTTCTGCATTGCAGCTTCCCATTGTTCCTTCTCTGAACAATTTAGAGCTTCTTTCACTATTTGTGGCTCTTTTTGTGGGTCAGTAGCTGCGTAGACGTGACTGCCATAGTAGTCGGGTCTCCGGGTTTTTCTGGTGGGTGTTCTTCGAGGAGCTGGAGCATGTGGAGTCTTCTTCTTCGGGTTCTCTGTCATCCCTCTCCTGTTCTCTTGGGTCCTCTTGGTCCCCTTCGGGTTCTTCCGAGTTGTCATCAGACTCGATCTCGTCAGAGTCTTCTTTGAGTTCTGGTGCTTCTCGTTCTTCTGTGAAATGTTCTATTTGAACAAGTCGTTTCTCTTTCGCACCCTCATATCCCCATGACAATTCATTGAAAACAACGTCACTACTGTGAATGATACACGATGTCTTCCAGTCGTAGAGACAATAGCCCTTCCTTGAGGTACCGTACCCCAAGAAGGTGCACTTCTTTGCCTTGGGGTCCAGTTTCTTCCTCTCATCTTTCGGGACGTGGATGTAGGCAGAACACCCAAACATTCGCAAGTGGTTGACGTTGGGTTTCTTCCCGTACCAGGCTTGAAATGGTGTCTTGCCATCGAGGGCCCTCGTAGGACTTTGGTTGATCAAGTACGCTGCTGTAGATAGAGCTTCAGCCCATAACCTATGCGGTAGTCTTGAGTCAGCAAGCATCGACCGAACCGTTTCCACTAGTGTCCGATTCATCCGTTCGGATACTCCGTTTTGCTTTGGCGTCTTGGGAATGGTGTACTGATGCTCGATGCCTTCCTTCTTTAGATAGCTTTCGAACTCAGTGGATGTATATTCACCTCCGTTGTCGGTGCGCAACTTCTTCACTTTGTAGCCAGACGACTTCTCGACGAGAGACTTCCATTCGACAAACTTCCTGCAAACTTCATGCTTGTGTTTGACCACATAGATCCACACATAGTGTGTCTTGTCGTCGACGAATACTATGAAGTACTCGGCTTGACTAAGTGATGGTGAGCTGATCTTGTCACACACATCACTATGAACGAGCCCTAGAGGCTCTTCAGCTGTTTCTCGGCCAGATTTCGGAAAGGAACTTCGATGAATCTTTCCACTCACGCAGGACTCGCAGAAGTCTATCTCTTTGGAGACGTCGTAGTCGAGGCCGCTGACCAACTCCTCTTTCTTCAACATACACAGGCTTATTTTCCCCAAATGACCAAATCTCTGATGCCACAAATTCTCCTTGGATTGATGACTAGCTGAATTGATCCGTTCATTTTTCAGTGGCTTACACTTCAGGTAATATAGATTCCCAGTTTTCGACACAGCAGCAACGACTTCTCCTTCGCCATCAATGACTTTGCCTTCTGTTTCACCGAATGTAACTGTCTTCCCAGCTTCAGTGGCCTTTGCCACGCTCAGTAGATTGTAGGCCGCGGTAGGCACGTAGAGAACTTCGTTTAGTCTTCCGATTTTCGACTCCCCACCAGGTAGTTCCAATTTCACCCCCACAGCACCAGTACTAATCGCTTCCAGGGTATGACCATCACCCAGAGCAACCTTTTGAGGCTCTGACAGAGGACGAAAGTCCTCAAACAGCTCTTTGGAATTGCAGATATGACAGGTAGCTCCTGAGTCTACAATCCAGTCGTGTTCAGGCTCCCTTACTCCGAGAACATGCCGCGTGACCAGCTCTACTTTCTTGCCCTGTGGACTCTTGCCTCCTTGTTTGGCCTTTTCTTCTTCGGCTTTCATCCGCTTGGTACAGTTTTTCTGAATATGTCCATACTTCTTGCAGTAGTGGCACTGTGGACCTCTACCTCTGAACAACTGCCGCTTGGTCGTCATTGCCTTTTCTCCGTAAGAGTCAGGACTTGTTTTTTGTTTCTGTTTCCTTTCAGCATACAGTAGCCGCTCAGTAACAACCTCCATCTTGGGGACTTCTTCACTAGCTTCCAGAGCTGTAACGAGCGGGTTGAATGAGTCGGGCAAACTAGCCAGCAAATACACAACTCGGTCCTCCTCCTCTATCGCGTCTCCTACTATAGCCAGTTCGTTGAATAGTTCAGTCATGGCCTTGATATGGTCTTGTACGGATTCTCCGTCTCTCAACTGTAGCGAGTGTAGTCGACGTTGAAGAGTTAATTTGTTGGCCCATGTCTTCTTTTGAAACTGATTCTGTAGCTTTTCCCACACAGCAACGGGGTCCTCTGGATCTCCTATCAAATAGAGTAACGACGGTTCAACCGCTAGGACAATGGTAGCCAGCGCGCGGTCTCGTCTAGCGAGGAACTTCGATCGACGGTCACGGACACAGCGCAAGATAGACAGTCACTAGAATAGCTTCAATAGAATGTATAAATGCCCGACTAACTAAGAGTGAAGAGAATTGAGTTTATATACCCACAAAGGAATGTTCTAGAATGTTCCAGGGTTGTTGTCGGGACCACATGTTGATTCTAGAATGTTCCAGGGTTCTGACACGTGTAGGGACCACGTGTTGAGTGTTGTGCGCATGTGCGGACTATGGAGAGTGCATATTTCCACACGTCGATGTACCGAAAGGTGTTAGAAAATGCTCTCGCTTTGGACATATTACTACTTATCAGCCTTCTCATATATACGTACTCAAAGTGAAATAGATATAAATTTGCCAATAAAGGTGCACAATCCGTGCCCATAGGTATACCTATGCACTGACGAAACACCCTATTACCTACTGACACATATATATTGTCGATAAGATAGTAGACCATATCTAGTAGCTGAGCTTTACTGATGTTAATTTCGTAATTATTGTCGGTACTCCAGAAACATTTACCTCTCTTATTTATCGATAAATGCATTGCTCCTCTCACCTTAAAGGCATCTCCTATCAATTCTTTCATACTGCTCTTTAACGAGTGATGTGGTATGCTTGTATACAATGTGGAAAAGTCAAAGGTGTCCATGGTTCCAGCCGCCGAAGTATCATTGAGTGTATGTAAGACTAACTGCGCATTATTAATAACCCAAAAACTATTAACTCCCGTATTTCTGTATATATACCAGCACAATATTCTTTAAAGTGTATTAAAATAGTTGTTAAACATCTTGTCAGCAACCCCGATATTGGCTTGGTCGAACATTTGTTTGACGCTGCAATAAACCTACTCCCATATGGGTTTTTATGCAGCTTGGGTAGCCAATACATCGTGGGCAACTGTTCCATTACAGGTGGTACATATATGTTCCAATGTTGTATATCCAACAGATGCTTCCTTACAAGTTGGTCGTACTTATAACTACTGGCAATATACGAGGATTGTTGGCCTATGTTCTACAACTCGTTTACTTTTACATCAACATAAAATTTCTTACAAACCACAATAATATTACTACTCACCTTGTCAGCGGGGACTAGAACATATTTCTGGTGGAATTGTTCTAAATATTCCAAATGAGCGCGATTCTTCAGTACCTGCAGCTTTCTATGTATGGGCTTCTTCCTCTTGAGAACATTTATCCTATTTATAATACATCGATTGATCTTGCTATGCCACTCATTCAACATTCGGACATCAAAATGTTCTCTCTTTGCCCACTGCACCTTATACGCTCGTATCGAATCCAAGAGTATTGCTTATTCCAGTTAATATTATTCTGCTCCCTGTACAAAGGCCCTTTTATCAAAAGCTGACGAAGCTGTCTATCATCCACAATACGTAGATTACCAGTTATCACATGCCCAGTTGGACCATATACATAAGGAGAATTACTGCAGTCACAAGACATTTCCTTGGAACCAACAGTAAAGTCTATCTCCGAGACCACCGTCTTATGGTTAAACACTTTACAGGCAATCGTACTATATAGCATATATTATTTATGCATAAGGGAATTGTAGAGGTAACGTTCTTGTTGTGCAACAAAGAAGGTAGATTGACCATATCGATACCTTTACTATGATAGAGGATTTTAATGAACCTTTTATTTCCAGTTTGACCATTCAGGTGATCAGTGCTATGACCAGGAGAGTTTCTAAACCGTACTAGGTCCCTGATAAAAAAAACTCCTATACGTCCGGGTATCTCACCACGCAGTAGATAGCCATCTAATGCCTTAGTCACTTCACCGAGTTTCCTGTTAGACATGCTCCTTTTAATTTTTGATTACTGTATTTGTCTCTCTCTATTTGGACAGGCCAGCAGCAAGGATGCCATGTTCTACTGGTTGAATCAACTACAAATTCGCAGGAAAAAGTACAGTAAACACACAAAGAAGGATGTTTTCAAGAAAAAAGCCGTAAGTGCTTATGTATAGGTTAGATCACTGGAACGAGTCACTACGAGGTTTGAATAACCCGAGGGGGAGGGGTGATCCCGACCCACGAGGATTTTCAAACCGAGGAGACGAGTTCAGTTGTCTAACTGGCTTAGAACCGCGGCACGGAGAGCGCAGTTTCGCTTAGTCTTTTCGATAGTGTGCAAGACCCGTTACCCAGTCGGCTCTGGCCGCCAGAATTTAGGCTGGGAAACGGCGTAGGCCCATTTGCTCATAGCTTCGAGACTGCCGCCGAGCAGGACGTGTTCATCATACAAGCATCGCAGCAACTGGACGGATATATCCTGCGAGCCCCGCCGGAGCAAGACACTGCCACTGTAGTGCTCAGCCCGCGTCGCTTGATCTGAACAATTTGTTGTTTGTCGCTAGTCAGGCGTTGAAATCAGCTACATGCTCTACCGGGAAACGCCTGACTAGCGACCAACAACAAATCGTCCAAGTGACGCGGGCTGAGTGCTGCGATGCTTGTATGATGAGCTCGGCGGCAGTCTCAAAGCTAGGAGCAAATGGCCTTCCCACTCCTCGATTATTATGAATTTGACCTTTGTGAAACATCAGTGATCTAAATTCTTCACAGTGATCTAACTTGCAACTTAGAGACTTAGTACTTAGATACCTGGCAGACCCAGTACTACGGGTTTTAGACACTTGATTACTACACTCAACATCAATGGGAATTATTCATGAGAGGTTCTAAATTTATGTAGTACACACTTGCAATTATCACCGTCCATTGAAATCACTAAGCTGAAGTATAGGCCATGAAAATGAACTCTCATGTTTTGGTTCCTTTTTAGCATAGTACTTTCTTTACCGTTTTTATCCATCAGCCTCCATTCTGTTTGCTCCATATGTACCAAAAGGCGAAGAAAGGCAATGATACTGAGCTTTATCTTTAAGTTATCACTATAAACATCTGAAGGAAAAGCTGGAGAAATTGTTGCCTCTTTGCTGTTTTAACTTTTTACTGTCAGTCGTTCCGCATATACGGAAATTTATTTTTTAAACCGGAAGCTTCAACATCGTTCATTCCTTCTTTCAAGGAAGAACACTGAAGTGCAAACCCTCAGCGAACTGCGCATGCGCGGTACCGCTAATTGATATGGGCTGGGCTCTTAGTATGCATTTTTTTGCACATGGTATCCCGCTAATAGCTCACGTTGAGTCAGACACAGGCTAGCTACAGTAGTAGATAGCATGCGGGAGTCCCTTCATTGTGACTTCAAGAGCCACAAAGCAAGCGGACCCGATCGAGATAAGCCTGTGCTAATTTGCATGTTGGCTTGTTCACTTGATTGTTACGCCATAACTTTAGAGCGCAGTAGTTTTATGAAAAGCACCTTTTTAAAAAATAAAGCCAGTGTAGCGCTGAACCAGTTGGTGTTGCTTTTTGGCATGTTGCTTTTGACCCTGGCCAAGTTTCAAGTTGCAAACGTTTCGTGTCTTGCCTGCAATGGCCGCTGCGCCCGATCGAGACCCGCGCGACACAGGTGCGGTTGAACCCGGGCACTTTTAGTGCCCCCCTCTGAGCCTCACGAAACCTATACCAGTCTGTAGCATAGCTACAATATATGTAGTACTGCTCTGTGATCCCGGTTCCCTCGTGGAGATATGTGCCGTGGTATGCGGGTCCTATAATTCACCTTCGCGAATGTTTATGTGGCCACATGCTGAGCAAAAGATGGCTACTTTAGCTGAGATCGCTGGAGGCTACAGCGTTAGTTTGCGTGTATATACTTTCGAATTTTTAAATAAATCTCCGTATATGGGACGCTTGCAAAACGACTGCTGTAGACATGTGTGAGGCAATGGGAAGCTGGAAATTTATAGATAGAACACATTGGCAGGAGTAATTCTTACATACACTGCTTGGCTATTTTGTTATAATTACATGATGGCCCACCCCTTTATATTCGTGGTGGTTCTAACATTCAGTACCGTCCATGAAATCCTAGCAGTAATGACCAGGCATTATCTGCCCAAGGAGGGTCCTGCCCATAAGAGTACCTGCATTTCTCTTTCTCTTGATATAAAGTCGGGCTATTCAGCTTCAAGACTACATTTATTTTATTTAATAGTGTGTGCATAAAAGCAGCAACGATATGACCACACATGGCCCCTCGTCCTCTTAACATTTGTAATGTGTTATTTTCATCTGTGTTCAGGTAGCAGGGGAACAGGGTGGAGAAGTTGCTACAGGATCGCCTGAAGACAGTGGCAGTGACGATGATGGGGATTGGGACAAAGTTCCCGATGAAATGGGTTAGCCTGATTGCACCAACAGGCTAATGTAATGTTTACTGGTGTTAATTACCCACCTTCACTGACTAAATGCTTGTTGTAGTGTGTGCTAATAATATTGTCTGTTGCTTGGATTGTAGACCATATATACGTTTGATTCATACCATCCTACGTAGGATTGTACTGCGAAATCTCAGATCCTAGCAATCCTAGGATAGCACAGGCACACCTACATAGGATGGTACTGTGAAACACCTAGGAGCACAGAAAAGGGCCAATATGCGCATCTCAGGGTTTAGCACTGTCCCTGCTGCAGCACTATGATTTTATATGTATTTGCCTTTGCGCAGCTGTGTGAACAGGTCAGCATGGCCATTAGCCTCCACCTCTGTTGAGCCGCCATCCCTTGCTCAAGACAAACGTCCGGAATGCATTTTTATACATACGTATGTAACCTGCGATCCGTCCGTTACACAAATCCATCTCCCACTACAAATCCATACATACACTCAAGTCATCATGTGACTACTATAAGGCGCATGGGCATGAGGTGACTACATACAATACATACAGTAACATACAATAACAGTCTCTGTGTCTCTGTTACACATACATATATCAGTGGGGGCTAGGGTATTACAAAGGTTTTCTGGAAAGCTGATGCTGGAATGTTAGAACATTTTTTGTGAAACCACTAGGAACAGTTCAAACATTGTAGTATGCCCTTCATGTTTAGCAGAGGTTTTCTTGACCCATGTTTTGCTCTTGCCAGTTGTTTTTCTTCCTGGAAAAGGCACATCTTACTTCGGTAAGGAAATTAAGCAGGTGCTCACGCTTTCTTGCCTGGACCACACAAGGTAGACATAGTGCAGGTGTGCATGCAATTGCAAAGCAACTGCAGTCACTCCCTTCACATTGGGATTGCATTGGCATTGTCAGCTGCCTCTCTGGAGTCTTTAGCAAACAGTAAGTTGCTGTCAAGTGCTGGAGGTGCGGCTGATAATAAACATTAATGTGCCCCGGATTGCACCCAATTGTTGACACACATGCCCAGTGTCCTCAGTAATTCAAACATTGCACCGAACCATCTTTTAGGGTCTTGAGGGGGGTATCAATCCGGATGGCGGAAGGCTTGGCACCTCTTTTTCGATGAAGAAGGTGAAGGGGGAATCTCTTTAGTGGAAGAGGGTGGAGGTACTCCATCACGATGATTTGAGCATGATCGCCCAGACTTGTAATGTGTAGAACAATGCTTTTGAGCCAGTTGTTGTGTGTACTTGGGAGGGTGGAGGGTGGAGGGTGACCCTTTGTTTTTCTTTCTTGTTAAACCCTTGGCGTGCATGCGCAGCGAGGGTTACAGTACTTGGTCTATCCGTGCATCTGTCTGTCCATCTGTTACCATGTTTTCTGCTACCACGTGCAGCAAACAGGCGACACCAACGGGTTCAGCGCTACACTGGCTTCATTTTGAAAATGGCGATTTTCGTAGAAGTCCTGCGTTCAGAAGTTATGGCGTGAGAAGCAAGTGAACAAGTCTATATGCTAATTAGCAGAGGCTTACCTCGACCGGGTCTGCTTGTTCCGTGGACGTTGAAGGCACAAGAAGTCGCAACAAACAACGTGTATTTACTCCCGCGTGCTATCTACTACTTATCTAGCCCGTGTCAGACTCTCCGTGAGCTACTAGCGGGAGACCACGAGTAAACGCATACTATTATAGCCCAACCTATGAATTAGCGGTGACGCACATGCGCTGTTCGCCGAATACTGGACTGCGTAGAGCACGTGCATATACTGTCTATAACCGCATGCGCCTTACGAGTACGGTTTTGTGGGCATGCGCATGTAGCTCTTCACTATTTCTCTGTGGCTAGTATGTTATAAACATGCTTTTCATGCCAGAATCTGCTCCACCTTGGCATTTTCTCTCTCTACCAGTCAGTACAACTGCTGATGGCGTGCCAGATTGTTAACTGTGGTCATCTCTCCTGGCCACCTTTTCACAACTCTGCGGACGATCGCATTTCTGCCGTTGTCTGACTGGATAATTCGGGAAGAACCAAAGTAGCAAAAGACCTTCGTCATGAGACTGAGTGCAACCTGCTTGGCACACTTCTGCTTCAACGGGAATAGGACATGGTCCATGTAATGCCCTGTCCAGTGGTAGGAGCCGTCTGGGTGATGACGCATGTCAATCATATCAACCTGTGTTTACCATGATTACAAGAAGCCGTATTATTTTTTTTACACTTTGTATACTCCTGGCCATGAGTCATAAACCCGAAAGAGATTAGCTTCAGTTGAGCTTGGTTTCTCTGTGGGTGCTGGAGACGACACAGAAGTTGCAGAATTTATGCACCACAGATCCCGGGATGCAGGCATAGGATGAGGCAACCTTTATAAAAAGCGAAAATTCACTAACGCCTCACGGCAAAAGCTGCCAAATAGCGTAGAGTCCGCATCATCCTGTCAAAATCCTCCAAAAACACTTGCCATAGAGTGATTTTCACCGTCTTTGTGGTTGATTCATCAGGCACCCTTGAATGACACATGCTTAATTTTTTCGTTTTATCCATCTCTGCTAAAAGAAATTCTGAGTGCAATGGTTTTTTGCCTTGACTTGTTCTTCGGGCCAGCCTCTCGAGCAGCTTGCACTACTCTCAATGAATATTCCTCCCAAACTCCCTGCATCCCGGTTTTGTAATGGGCCATGAGTACAGCTTGTTGCTTGGTAGTGAATGTTCTGCGTTTACCAAAACACAGTAGAGAAGGCTGTTCCCTATCACTTTCTTCCTCACTACTGGTCAGCATTTCTCTAGCTGCCTGAGCTAGTCCTTTTGGCCGGGTAGGGCCGAACTGGGGGTGGGGTAAACTCAGTAGGTGTTGCTTATGTGAGAACCCCGCTCCGCACTCATAACAGGAGGGTTCTTTTTCCAGTGGGTTTGTGGGTGAAAGTTTTTGAACTGAAGTTCAAACCCTTCAGTGAACTGTGCAATTTTATGAGCGTGGGATTGTACTTACACAGAAACTTAGGTACCTGCGTGTGATTTAGTTGGTACGATTTCGTTGGCCACGTCGGTTTTTCCACAGTGTGAGATGTGTGGTGCCCGAGTGATCTCCTATCCATATTTTATCTTTCGTTTTGTGACTGATTTGACTGTCAAAATGGTCACTCTCACAGTAACTATCTGGCTCTTGTAGTGTCCCGATATGGGAAGGATTGGACTTGCTAAACTGTTAACTGAGCACTCTCGGATTTTTTTATGCTGCTTATCCTTTTTCGTGATTGCTTAGTCAAAATCAAGCTAGTGTAGCGCTGAACCTGTTTGTATCGTATCTTGGTATATGTGTTAGCAGAAAATGTGGTAACAGACGGATAAATGACCAAGTATTGTGACACTACATGCTCGCAGAGGGTTAACAAATGATACCTGGTTGTAGAGTCAATTCGTAACCAGCATAGTTATGGTCTAACAAACCTAACACACCTACACAAGATTGTATAGCACTGTGTTCGTGAGATGGTGTAATGGTGAGATGATGAAGATTGTTGTTGTATTTTATGTCCAGGGCCAGTGGAGGCTCCAGAGAGCAGAGGAGGCAGACCTGGGCTGAGCAGTGGAAGTTCATTCAGAGAAAGACTCTCCATCAAACAGCAAATAACAGGCCTCTTCCGACCCGGGCAGGCCGCCCAGCCACCCAGCACTCATCAACAGTCCACTCATGAATCACCGAGAATGAAGAAACGCTCTGATGTACTTGTGGAGGCTCCCACCAGGGACATTAGGTGTGTGATGCATGTAAATGTGTGGTGGGTATGCATTGTTTAGCCTCTATTTAACCGCAATAAATTATTTGGCTTCTTACTTGATATAAATTATAGACAATGGAATACGAAGGGGGCAGGGCAAGGGGTTAGTCTAGACAATGAATGACGTGTGCTTTTGAGATAACGAGTGATGTAATGACCCTATACTCACAGTTACAGTTTTGTGCAGTTTTCCTATGGTTATGACTTAGTTTGCAATAGGAAGTGCATACAGTGGCTCAGTTGGTAGAGTGCTCACTTAGTTTACAAGTGCTACACTATGGAGTGTATAGTGTTCTAACACTAGGGCAAGTAAACTCAGAAAGTGTGTGCCAAGTCTAACCTACTGATGTAGTGTGCATTTGATCACAACTTGTCCTAAAGGCCAAATCCCTCAAAAGACCGCTACTCTTGGTCCAGAAAGGAAGCCATATGAACCCCATATAATACTACCAGCATATATAGGGCACCTCTATTGAGCATCTTCTAACGGCCGTCCCTACATGTACTACAACAAAGAATATTCTCCATTTAGCAACCAGCATGCATATATACATTGATTTCTGTGCTGGTGGTTTTGTCCCCACAATAATGCAGTGAAACCTGCAGTGGAGGAGCAGAGGTCTCCCCTGAACACACATCCACTGTGCTGACCAGGTCATCTATGACTGATCCACCACGCATATCCCTCTCACGAAAACTTCTGAACAAAGTCACTAGACACTCTCAGGTACATACTTTCATTTGATATGGGACCATTAGGCACTACCCTGTTGGTAACAACTATGTCTGAGATCCTCAGACCTTTTTTCCTGAAACTTTAATGTATATCTTCGTCTAAAGGACCATTTTTGAAGCAAGAAAACCTATGCCGCATATGCATTCAAAAAGTAACGAAATGTGATAGCTAAAAATCAGCCGAATCCCGGGGGGACCTCATTAGTGATTAAATAATAATGAAAAGCACTAAAGTGCAAACCCTCGGCGAACTGCGCATGCGTGATACTGCTAATTGATGGGCTGGGCTATTAGTTGTATGCGTTTACTCGTGGTCTCCCGCTACTGAGTAGCTCGCCGAGTATCTGACACGGACTAGCTACAGTAGGCGGGGAGCCGATACATGGCATTCGTTGTGACTTTCCTGAGCCCCCAATGTACACAGAACCAGCGGATCAGGTCGCTAGGTTGTCGTTGATCGCGATGCATGCGCACCGCTTATTGATGGGTTGGGCCACGCAACGCGGTCCGCGACCGTGCCAGTTTGTCGCTCTCAAACACAGTCGTTTCAGGAAAATCGCCCTTTTATTTTTCAGGCTCGAGTAGTTCTGAAGCCGTCGGTATCGTTAATGGGCCGCCTCATAGCCTGCAGTGCAAGAATAAGCGTCGACACACACACACACACACAGACAGAACGACTACAGTAACCCTCGCTGCGCATGCGCGCCGAGGGTTAATTACCTCAGGAAAGATTGTTTTTGCAAGGAAACAGTTTGTAACGGCACACTGATTGGGTTGGTTGTACACACCCCACTGGTTTCTCAGTGATTCTCCCTTGGCATGCACAACAGAATGTGCATGACTGCTTACGTGGGGTATATGCATTTTTTCTATATAGTTCTACCAATAATCCAGCATATATATTGCTCTGTGTATGTAATTATGTGTCAGAATCTTCATCTGGACCAAGAATTCATGATTTCTGCATATATAGGTTCTGGGTGGCCCTTACTCAAGCGACTGCTTTCACTGTCATTTGAACAAGACAAAGGTATGTGTTGATTGTGTCAGTACAAGATAAATTGGCTACAAGGCTATTTTGAGTGACATTTAAAGGCCTGATAAATGTATGCAAGACATGCTTACTTGGTAATACACGAAAGAGTTGACTGATATGCACACAAGAGACCACGGTACAGCATCTCTAAGTACCACATCCATTCTTGGTACCAACTGTTAATAGCATAAGTTGTCGAATCATACTCTGCTATTTCCGCAATAACCGAGAGACACTTGTCACATGTGTGAACAGTTGAAGAGTAATTACTTTTTAAGCTCTGTTGAATGGTTCCGAAGTGAACAATATTTTACGTAACAGATGGAGGAGCTAGAGCTTGAGTTGCAGCGAAAGGAACAGGAAGTCGCAGACCGTGAAGCAGTCAATGAGTTTCTTCGAAGTGAGATCAGATTGGCAGACATGAAAAATAAAGTAAAGTGAGTCACAAGAGAATAATTAAGTATTCTATAGAGGGTACTGGTTACCATTAGATGATTTGCCGTACAGTGCAAGTACCATCTACTGTCCGAATCAGCCTAAATAACCAGTACGGTTGTATTGTTTACCCTAAGCCCCCATGTGCAGCAAAGGTAGTACTCGGTCTGTGTGTCTATCAGTTTGTCTGTCCACGGCTACAAGGCAGCCTACGTATGCGCAATACCAACGGTTTCAGAACTGAGTGTACCTTGGAGACATAAGCAGTCACGAGCGGTCCGAACACACTCATTTCCGTCCTCCTCAGCCATGGTATGAGGCAACATGGGACGTGTCCCGGGTGCTCGACTTTGGTGTTGACATGGGACCATCCAGGGCCCTTACCCTGCGGGACATTACCTGGAAGCTGGCAATGATTCTTGCCTTGACTCGGCCTTCCCGATCAGCTGATTTGGCCAAACTAGACCCAAGGAGACTCTTAGGGCATATGAGGCGAAGACGGGGGGTTTTCGGCAAGGAAACGCGGAACAGATGAAACTGTTCCTGGCAGTGGTAACCACACAAGCCAGTGACCTCCTCGACTCTGGCCAGATAGCTAAAGTCACCAGGTATCGACACAGGCATATTCAAAGCCCACACAGTAAGGGGAGCTGCCACATCGGCAGCAGCCAATGCCGGTGTCACTATGGCAGATATCCTGAAAGCAGCCGACTGGAGTTCGGAGTCTGTTTTCAGAAAGTTCTACTACAAGCCTATTCGATCAGGTGTGTTTGGATCACCAGTGCTGTCCAATAGGGGATCGGCAAACTACCACAGTTGATATGGAGACCGAGCCTTCTGATGTATAATTACAGAATGGCTCAGCCCACGTAGTGGGTGCCAGCTATTCTGCATTATATGAAGAAGGTGAGGTCGAACATATCAACGTCCCACCCGACCCTACCCGATACTATGTTCTCCCCTCGTGGGCCAGAGGCCCACCTATCCTGTAACCACCAGAGGTGGCTGACCTGCATAGTGGACCAAATGATTGTTCACTAGAAAAAAGGCCGAAGAGGCCAGAGAAGCATAGGTCTTTATTGAAAGATTTGCGCGCCAAAACGATGGGATAGAACCCCTTATATGGAAGGTGCAAATTAACTCACTGCAAGGGTTTCAGCACAGTTGCTAGGGTGAGCCCCTGGGTTAAAAATGAATTAACTACCAAGGAGCTGTCTGAGCTAGGATTTTCCTCCTCACGAATTGGGAGCATAAAGTATGCATCCATCCAGTCTCCTGCTCTTAGCAAGACATGGATGCCCTCCATCTTGAAATGCTGTGTATGCACAAAGTTGTTCAAGGACTTCAGGTTTATGACCGGCCTCTGGCCTCCGTCCTTTTTGGGTACGAGAAACACCATGGATAGAAATCCCCGCCCCCTGGGCGTGGTCTTCTCTATCGCCTGCTTTGCAAGCATGCTTCTTATCTCCTCCTGCAGCAGCTTCTCCTCCTCCGAGGAGTGATGCAGGGGCATGGGAGGACATGGTTGGTGTGGTTGGCTTATGAACGGTATAGCAAAGCCTCTCACGGCGTCCAGGACCGACTGGTCCTGTGAAATCTTTTCCCAGTTGCGCACAAAGTGCTGCAGGCGCCCCGCGAGCGGCAAGTTCTTCCTCGCTAGCTCTGTAGCTATCGGCGTTATCCCCGCTCGTATCAGTTGATTTACCACTGATGACGGGTAGAAATGCATTACCTCTAGTAAAGCGTGAACAATAGCAATATTCTCTGAAATGGGACATTTTACAAACACTGGGGTGAAACAGTAACTGTTACAGCAAAGTCTCCTTACTGATGTTGTTGCTCTTCCTCTGGAAGCCGTTTTCTTTTTCTCTGTTCTGTGTGTTGTAGGGTTGGAACCGTCTCTGCCGGTTCCCGAAATTTCGCCCGCCTCTTCGGGCGTTGCCGCCACTCCTCCGAGGCGGGTAGTTGGAGTGGCCCTCCTGAAAACCCGAGCCGTCTTTCTCTTGACTGCCCGTAGCGCCGGCATGGAAGTGTTTGCTTCGCGAATATACCATGAGCGTGTAGAATACGCTGGCGATTGTGGGTGGAGCACGCCGTCGCACATTCGCGCGGTGATGCTCAGTCTGCGTAAATCGGCGTGACTTCCCGCTTGAGTGCGTAAAAGCGCGATATTTCGCAACTGTCACCATCTGTGCGCGCGCATTATTTTACATGGGAGGAATTGAGAAAAAAAATAGAGCAAAAACAAGAAATAATCCGCACAGGCCTGCCACTCACACACCAATCCAACATTGAAACACTAAAGTGTGTACTAGAGTCATTGCGCAAACCTGACAGGTCTATCCCAATAGCAGGTGCTTGTGTAGGTCTTTCCAAGCCTCTGCCTCTGCCACTCCCTGCCTTGACATCTCCCTGTTTCACGTGCTCCTCTGGGACCAAGCTCAGTGCCCCGACTTCCTCAGCAGCGTCTATGGTTTGAAAGGTTTGTGAATGTACATGTCGTCAAATGGAAGGAAAAGCTGACCTGATTCGCCCGAAGCAGCCCTAGTTCTGGAGACCAATCTTTTCTTTGCTGTGTAAACAAACACCTCTTGTGCCTCTAGTACATGAGTTCAACTCTGGCTCTACGTGTCAGTGGGTTGAAAAACACACATTTTGATGCACAGACCAGTCTAACATAGGAATTTAATCAAGTAAAAGGCACACCTTTCTGCACTTTTTCTTGGATAATATATCGCAAGCCATTTATCTTTAGCCATTTATTCTTGTGAGAAAAGAGGTTTTCTGTGATTTCTGAATCTTTTGTGCATCTCGTCTTCCTTCTCTTTTTCTCGCTTTTCTTCCTTTTCTCTCAGTTTGGCTTGCTTTTTTTTTTTTTTCCATGAATTTTCTGAAGATTCTCTGCGCTTGTGATCCCCGCTTCTGACGCCAGCCTTTTTTTTTGGTCTTATGAACTCTTTGGCCATTTTACTCCTTGTCCCTTACCTATTCTTTCTTCTTCACTGTATCATTGCCGCCCTCTTCCACCCCGTACTCTCCTTCCCCCTTTGACCGCAAATTTTTTGGCCTCTCACCTGTCAACCTCCTCCTATTACAGCCTACCCAATTCCTTCTCTTTCGGCTTTTCATTCTTTTTCCACCTCTTTGTCTTCTCCTTCTCCTCGCTCTTGCGTCTTGTTTCCTTAGGTTCTGCTTCTTCGTGTGTCACTTACCGTTGCGTCTTTTTCCCACTAATCTCCAACCCCGCCCCCGCTGGTCTTCTCTTTTACGTTCACGCCCGCTACCTCCTTCTTGTTTATTAGGTTTCTACTCTCTATCCCACTACCGGCCTCTGTGTCCCCCACCCTCTCCGCCCATTCGTTCGTATCCTTGCGTCCCTTGTTACATTTTATCCTTTGTTCGTCCTGCTTTACTTCCCTCTTGATTATCGCACTTGGGAACCGACCCCCTACCTATGACTCTATCTTACTTCGTGCGTTGATCGACCTCTTCCCCCTTCTATTGTTTGAAATTCCTCTACTTTCCCGTCTTCCTTCCGATTTCTTTCCATGTCCCCTCTTCCCTTCCATTTTTCTTTTTCGTCCCACGGTTTTTTGTTCTCTTCACTCACCTCACTCCGACGTACTCTCTCTCCTGCTCGGTCACCACTACACTATGACCATGTTACTTTCGACACCGAATTGAAGATGATGTTGTGGCTTTTGCAGTAGGAAAATGTCGGTAATCAGGAGAGTCAAGATAACCAACCAGTGAGACATACTTTGAAAGCCTGACACTATATTCTGAGGGGGTCATTGCCTGTACCCAAGCTTCACTAAACACTATATAAAAATTGTGCTCAGTAATTATCACTAAGTACGGTAGTACTTAGTATATAGGGATTGACATGGTACCTAGCATCATAGATGTATGGGTCTATGATAGGGAGTTTTGTTCATCTTCTTCTTCTTCTTCTTCTTCTTCTTCTTCAGATTGAACTCGCGTAACTCAAAAACGAAACAACATAAAGTAATGAAATCTTGTAGAATGTATATATCCGTCACCCGAAGAGACTGGTCATACTTATTTCTTTGTAAACAACATTGTTTACTGTAAACAACAACAAATAGCCCCAGGCCATACATTATAAAGGGATCACATGTGTCACTATAACTCACAAATGATAGGAGCTATGTGAACGAAACTTTGTAGACGTAATGTATTCAATCACCAACATTAAAATCACAACGACACATGTTCGTAAACAACAACAAATAGCCTCAGGCACTTTTCTTTAAATTTACTTCTTCACTTCTCAAACTTTCCAATGGTAGCACACATAGAGATGAAACTTGATATGTATGCCTTATATATCATTTCCATGACGACCACATATTGGGTGAAAAAGCCTCAGGCAAATATTCTTTAATATTAGTTCTTCACTCCTCAAACTCGCAAACTATAGCACGCATGGAGGTGAAACTTGGAGCGCATGTGTATTACATCGTTCCCATGACGACCACAACAACAAATAGCCTCAGGCACTTTTCTCTAAAATTACTCCTTCGCTCCTCAAACTTGCTAACTGTAGCACGCATGGAGGTGAAACTTGGTGCGCATGTGTATGACATCGTTTCCATGACGACCACAACAACAAATAGCATTTCTTTAAAATTACTTCTTCACTCCTCAAAGTCACTAACGGTACCATGCTTGGAGATGAAACTTGGTACGCATGTGTATTGCATCGTTTCTATGACAACTACAACAACAAATAGCCTCAGGCACTTTTCTCTAAAATTACTTCTTCACTCTTCAAACTCGCTAACTATAGCATGCATGGAGATGAAACTTGGTACGCATGTGTGTAACATCGTTTCCATGACGACCACAACAACAACAAATAGCCTCAGGCACTTTTCTTTAAATTCACTCCTCAAACTTGCTAACGGCAGCACACATGGAGATGAAATATGGTATGCATATACTTTCCGTGGCTTACCCCCTTCCACAGAGATAATAC